ATTGGTGAGTTTAAGCCATTAACATTTAGGGTTATTATTGAGATATGGTTTGTTCTTCTAGCCATATTTGTTTATTGATGTTACTAAACCTGATTTTTTATCCTCTTTGACTACTTTCCCCCCTTTACTGTCCTACCTCCCATTGTTGGTTTTCATTGTTGTTTTCCATTTCCTCTTCCTGTAATGTTTTGCCAAGGATTTTTTGAATAGATGGTTTTCTAGCTGCGAATTCTTTTAACTTTTGTTTATCGTGGAAGGTTTTAATTTCATCTTCTATCCTGAAGCTTAATTTTGCCGCTGATTTTAATTCTTTTTGGTATAGATCAAGGAGTGGGATAGCTGGATCAAATGGTGGTTCCATTCCAGTTTTTCAAAGGAATCTCTATACTGCTTTCTGGATTGGTTGCACGGATTTGCAGTCCCACTAGCAGTGTATGAGTGTGCCTTTTCCCCCGCATCCTCACCAACATTTATTGTTGTTTGTATTCTTGATAACTGCCATTCTGACTAGAGTGAGATGAAATCTTAGAGTAGTTTTGATTTGCATTTATCTAATTACCATGTATTTGTTGGTCTATTGTATGTCTTCTTTTGAGAAGTGTCTGTTCAGCTCCTTAGCCCATTTATTGATTGGATTTTTGGGGGGTGTTAAGTTGGGACAAGTAAATTTCTATATGATATAAAGTGTACCCAAAGAAATATCTTTTCCCTAGAAGGCAGGGGATACATACTTGGAAAAATCAGTGCCTGATTTAAAATTCAGAGAATATCAGATCTTGCTTCTTGTGATTTGTTAATTCCCAATCATGTTTTTCATTTTCCACTACCATCATGTTTTTCTTTTAATATCTTAACTTCTGGGTAAGAGTTAGAACAGTATAAATAATAAATAAGCTGGATTTGTGTAGGTCATTTGAAGGTCAGACAGATTTGGGATTAGGCAAGGAACTGACATGGTTGAAAAATGAGAAAAAGAAGCAAGTGAGGAGTTCTTAGTATTAGAAAACTTTCACTCACTCATTTATACATTGTCTGTGGTATATCTGCCATATACCAGGTACTATGCAAAACAATATCTATAACTTTAGTATATCTTTCACATGTTATGTGATAACAACATACTTGTGATGTGTTTTTAAATAAATATTACTTTTATGGTTGAGGAAAGCAAGTCTCAGAGATCCAAGGTCACATAGCCAGTTGGCAGTAAGGCTAGGATCCATTTCTGGATCTGACACCATTGTTCTTTTCCTGACATGCTGAAGCAGGAAATCCAACTCTATGTTTATTTTGTTTCAGGTCCTCGTTCCATGGATCAGATGGAAGTTGAGTGCCAGGATTACATCCGGAAATGGTACTACAGTGAGAAGCAGGAGGCTTGCCAATAGTTCTGGTATGGCAGCTGCAGAAGCAATGCTAGATGGTTTGAAACCARGGAAGAATGTGAAGCTTGGTGTCTCTCCAGTTAGGCAGAGTCTATGGCTATTGCTTCTCTACCCTTACTGAGCCAGTGTCATGACACTTTTAAGTGACAAAGACCACTTTATGGCCACAGACATCACATTTCTTGCTCCCTGAATTTTTTTTTCTTGCCAGTGAGGTCTTGGGGTCAGATGATTTGTGACTTGAGAAGGGCTGAATTCTAAGAGTTAAAAAGAATAATTGAAACTTTTCTGAAAGTCATTTAAATGAATTAGAACCACATGAAAGAGAAACTTGAACTTAACCTCTAAAATTATTTTGAAGTTTGGAGGGGCTACATAGCAAAATAGATATCAATGGAAGTAGTGAGCAAAACCTAATTCAGAAAGGAGTTGAAAATTGTTTTGTCTTTTGACTACTAGAGAATAGAGAAATCAAAGAGGGGGATGTCTAATGTGAAGTTCATCATCACTACCTAATATAAATAAATAAAGGCATTCTTTATGAAATCTTTGGGGGTGAGACTGCATGTGATTCCTGTTGACTGCAACCTGTGATATACATAGCAGTTGATAGAGTGGAGACAGCAATGACTTTTCCATGGGACCAGTCCTTTGGCATCAATTGGCCTAAAATATGGTGACCTCTGTCCTTGGAAACATAGTGACTCAACAATCACAACTGACATTGTCCATGCAAAGATGAAATGAAAGGTTTTGATTCATAATGGACAATGTAATTTTGCAATGTAAGAAGTGAGGATGAGAGAGAGAGAGAGAGAGAGAGAGAGAGAGAGAGTGTGTGTGTGTGTGTGTGTGTGTGTGTGTGTGTGTGTTGCAAGATCTTCTTTTGCCTGGCAACTCGATTCTTCTGGCCTCTGAAGTTTTACTCAGTTTCAGATTTGGTGACGAGGTGGAAGGGGGCTGCTGGGTATTGGTAATTAATTCATTGCTGTAAAATGAATTAATCGGCTTGGGCTTCCTTAACAAATTATCACAGCCTGGGTGCCTTAAACAACAGACATTTATTTCTCACAGTCTTGGATGCTAGAAATTCAAGATCAGCGTGTTAGTCTATTTTGTTCCTGCTAAGGTAGTTCCTTCCTGGCTTGCTGGTGGTTACCTTCTTGCTGTGTCGCACATGGCCTTTCCTTGGTACATGCTCATGTTGGGAGGAAGCGAGGGAGATGGAAGAAGAGGGAGAGAGAGAGAGAACAAACTGGTATCTCTTCTTGGGAGCATACCGATCCCATTGTATTAGAGCCCCACCCTTATCTAATCTAAAGGCCCTATATTCAAAGATAGTCACTTTCATAAAAGATCCCAAGCAGCTGGTGGTTGTCTCTAGGGATGCAGAGTGGAGTTGCTCTCTGGCAAGTTCGGTGACTGATTTCTAGAATACTCTTTGTTCCTTCACACAGATGACAGTGCAGAGGAGATGGGAACCAGTTTTATACTGAATGTTCAAAGAAATGTTAAAATATTTATTCTATTTTTGTGACAATTATTTTCATCTGATCACAAAAGAATGACTATGTGTTCATTGTAGCCAGTCTGTACAACACAGAAACACACATGAAAGAAATACAGATCAGGGCTGTTGCAGCTCAGTGGTAGAGTGCTCGCCTCACATGTGGAAGGCACTGGGTTCAATCCTCAGCATCACATAAAAATAAAATAAAAGTATTGTGTCCATCTATGACTAAAATATTTAAAAAATCATAAATAAAGATCACCTATAATCTTCATCTGAAGGTAACCATTTTTTTTAATGCCTGGATATACTATCTATTTTTTTTCTTCCATAAAGTACTGATTTTGGAGACAGCATTTTGGGAATGAAATGGCAACTCTTCCATCTTGCTTGACAGAGCTGCTCATGGTGTGAGTGTGTGTGACCATTATTTAAGGCAGAATTCCAACTACCTGGGCATAAGGGGGCCACACTGGTTATCCAGAGGATGGATTTGATTCGAGTTGTGATTATTTTCCACTTCTGACTCTCTTATCTGCCCTTCCCTTGCCCAGGAGTTCAGAACACCAAGGCAGAGTTTCCATAACTAGAGGACCATCGGGAGGAGGTATTCAAGTGTGTTGGTTATTCCATCATTGGAACATTTGTGAGTCCCACTGCAGTTCTCCCAGCCTTTCCTAGGTGGTGGTATAACCCTTCCATGCAGCTCCTCTGACTCCCAGCAAAAACTACTCCATAAATCCCGAGGTACCCAGATACTGGAACCAAGAGGCAGAAGCAATTATCTATCGTTTCAGACACTCTTCATCCCCACTTGAAAACACAATTTATGAAGCACTTTCCCAAGTTATCTTATATATTTGCCCACTCCCACCACTAAATCCCAGATGTCTGCCTTGTTCTTATTTCTGGAATGAGGAAACTCTCTCAGAGACGTGACCTGCTCCTGAAACAGAAACTGGTTTTGAGATCCTTTGGATCTGGAGACCAAACTCCCTTCGTGGTACTCCACAAAGGGAACCATGGAGCCACCACCTGAGAATTTTGAAGGCTAGAACTGTAGATGCCCAAGATGTTGGAGGTTGGGAAGGGAGAAAGGCTTGACCTTTTGACCTTGCAGGCAGCCTCGCTCTTTTCACCGGAAAAAAGCAGGAATGGACTGAAGAGAAGTTGAATTGCAATGCAGGCCAATCCTAACTGCCTGAACTGACCCCACAGGGAGCTCTGGAACCAAAAGGGCTTTTTGGAGTTGCTCCAGGGTGGGCTGAAATGGCTGGGCCAGTATCCCCTGCCTCCATTAGCTGCTGGATGTGGGAACCCAGGGCAGGGTATACTGGTGGACGAGGCAGCTCTGCAACTGTGGCAGACTTGAATGGGGCCTGGATGCAGGGTCTCTGTCAAGAGCTCTCCTAGCTCTTGCAGCTAGGGCAACAAACAGGTCCTGCTTGAAGGTGGGTCTGGGTGGCACACACTGCGTCCATGACAGTCCATCCATGTCCTTTTGCATGCTGTTTTCAAGTCTCCTCAGCTTCCAAAACCCAACAGGACATACTCAAAAAGTTTGTGTGGCTTTCAAGGTCTCAGAGATCTGTTTTTGTCCCAGCAGCTCAAGAGGCTGAGGCAGGAGGATTGTGAGTTCAAAGCCAGCATCACCAATTTAGTGAGACCCTTTCTCTAAATAAAATATAAAAAAGGGCTGGGGATGTGGCTCCGTGGTAAAGCACTCCTGGATACCACAAGCAAGCAAACAAACAAAAAACCCAATCTGGTCTTTGTATTCATCTCTAGCCTTACCAATGGTGACAACTGCTCTGTCCCTCTAACTGAGCAGTACCAAATAAATCATTCATAGTTTTATGGAAATGCCATATTCCATCCATCTGTGCTGTTGACACACCTGTGGGAAATATCTTTATTTCATTTATTTAAATATACTTAATAGGTACCTGCTATATTGGTCCACAATCTGTGTCAAAACCCAGCTCTGTTCTCATTGTCTCATTGTCTCTGTGAAAGTGTCCCCAAGCCTCCTACAGGCTGTTTTGCACACTCCTCTCTTTTGCTCTTTCCCTACCATTCACACCATGTCCCCATTAGTCTCCACATTAGACCATGAGCCTTTTCACCTGAGAATCCCCCTGCCCAGTACGGGGCCCGATGCCTGTCCTTTTAGTTCTGATTTGCTTCTCTTTCAGTCCTATAGTTTGGGTTTGGAATGCCCCCAAAGGCCTGTGTGTTTAAAGGCTTGGTCACCAACCTGTGGCACTGTTGGGAGGTGGCCGAACATTTAGGAGGTGGGGTCCACTGGAAGGAAGTTGGTCTCTGGGGGTGTGTCCTTGAAGGGAATATTGCCTCCCAGCTCCTGAGAGGTGAGCAGCTTCCTCAGCATGAGCTCCCAAAGCAACAGCCAACCGACCTAGATTATGGATTTGTTTTTATTCTGCATTTATTTCAGACATCAAGGCATCTATCTCCCATCAGGGAAATAGATTAGCCATCCCAGGGTCACTTCAAGGCATCTATTTCCCATCAGCCAAGTGGAAAGAGTTTCATGTGTTTGAAAAGTCTCCTTCAGATCTGTTACCTCGTTACCACCTTGCATTGCTTTGGGGATATTAATTTTTTCTGATGGAGGTATTAAGACCCAGAAAGGTCAAGTGACATTGAGTCTCATGCAGTGAATCAGTCGGTAGTCTAAAATTTGAAGTAAAATGTGTTTTGAGCAGATTTGGCATCGGTTGGCGCCAAATTGGCCTGAATTGCAATGCAGGCCAATTCTAGCTGCCTGTTTGGTTTACTCTGCAAAGTTTAAGGGTTTTATTCATTATGTGAACTGACCACTTGGCACTTTTGAACATGTAGTAGATTTCATTGATCCTAGCAGGGCTACTAGGCTCAGAACTTGGTTCTAGCTATGTATCAAAGTGTAGAAATAAATCTGAGGATTTTTCTTGTACTCCCTTGAGTGGAGGTCTTGCTGACTAGGTACTATTCAGGATATTTTTCTTATTTTCTTATTTTTTTTTGCCATTTTGGGATCTCTTGTGGTAGATCATTCCTTTTCATTTTTTTTAATGACCTCAAATGTATACTTTTTTTTTAAAACTCAGTGGCATGCAATCACTGAGCCACATCCCCAGCCTAGTTTGTATTTTATTTAGAGATAGGGTCTCACTGAGCTATTAGTGCCTCACTCTTGCTGAGGCTGGCTTTGAACTCATGATCCTCCTGCCTCAGCCTCCAGAGCTTCTGGGATTACAGGCATGCGCCACCGTGCTCAGCTACAAAGGTATACTTTTAATCCTTGCTGTGGATCCGCTACTTGGGTTATATTATGGTACATTCTAAGACTGGGGCACCTCCTTCAGCATTAGTTCCCTCCCTGGGACTTCACATAAGATACTCCATTTTTTCTGGCTTTTGTATTTTTTCTGGTGTAGGTGCCTGGAGATGAGAGAAATCTTTCTTGCCCATT